GGTTATGTAATTGTTTATATTTATGTTTAATTATATTATATTTATGTTATTATATTTAACAATGTTAATATAATTGTATAGTATGTCTATGATTGCCGTAAGTCAATTAAACCGGGTTAATTTTTCTATGTACACCACATAAACAACACTGGTTCCCTCTAAAACATGGCGGAACGTCTGCGTGAATGAGATGCGCGTACTTAATTATCCATGGAGAGTGGGCATTCTAATTGTTTATTATTCTGTGTCTACGCGTTGTTAGTTGTCACCATAGAGAAATAACAATAAGTTATTTGTTATTTCTCTATGGTTGTCACCACAGATCAGAGATCACTGCCACAGAAAAATTAAACAAGGAGTGTGCTGTGTATGTCATTAAAGTCAAATAAATAGTGCAAAACGAAACGAAACAAAAAACAATTTGAGATTAAATTGGAGAATGCTGCAAGAGAAACTAAGATAAAACAATTTTCATGTATGCGCTAGTCATTTTAAAGAGAGGAAAATATAATCAAAGTTGGACATAGGGACACTAAAAGAACAGCCGTTACAAGTTTGCTTTTACCATGACCAGGCTTGTGTTCACATAAAACTTGACACGTTGACATTAGAATAAAGAAAACAATTATTTAAATACTGACAAGTTCTTGTCACAACATTAACATTAGAGCAGTAAATTATACCATACTTGGTTTTCTTGTAACATTTTTATAAATAAACATTTTATTCTTTAATTTTTAACTACGTTGGCATTTAATGTAATGGAAAATAAAAGTATAACCATAACATAACAAGAAAACACAAATAGTATATAAAAAAGATATATATAAATTATCTTATAGAATAAGATTGTTGTTTGGTATTTTAGGATTATATTGATTTTCCCTTCCTTTAAAATGTGTTGACAATCGTAGATAATTTTTGCTAGTCTTTTGAATTTATTGACAAATATATATAGTTAGTTACGCACCCTGGCACTAGATAATGCGCCAATCGTCGTTTTACTTTTTACTACGGGACTGGCTCTGCTAAGTAGAAGTGTGCTGTGATTAAGCGAATCGATAGAACTTGGAACTAATTTCAGAAGTGTCTACTCACCCTTACAGCCGGCAAAATTAACAACAAAATTTAATTTTCTGTATTTCATGAGCAAAATATATTTAAATTATTAACAAATATTGAATTCAAATATGAATTGGAACAAGTTTGGATTATTTTACAAGCTGTGAGATTGTCGATACCACAAAATTCTGCCACAGGAATTCTTGTGACATAAAATCGCATTCCTTTGGCATAACAACTTATTTACTATAAATATTTTTTATTAACTATTATAAAAAGCTTACCTATTTATACGATGAAGCTATCCAGTCACTTGTATGATCAACCAGCATGAGAACTGTTTCCTTTGGTAAACGAATTCTATTCAAAAACTCATCTTTAAACCCAAAAAAATATAATTTTTACAGAAGATCAATCATATTAACAACAGCCAGGAAATCTTCTTTCTCTATGATACTTCCATCATCAAAATCACAGACATCATTATTTGCAATAGCCATTAACATTGCTATAAACGCGAAATTATAATAGATTAGATTACTGCAAATTTGTATCAATAAACACACAATGTATATATAGTGCAATAATTATGGTTGATTAAATCTGAAATTTTCTTGACAATACATATTTAATTTAAAACCAAATATTAAGGTTACAAATATCTATAGTTAATCCTTCGTTTTTGAGTAATTAATTCTCTTGTTAACAGATGGTTAAGTGTTAAACATGAATTGGACAACACAATGTTGTTTAATTAAAGATCTCTTCCAGAAGATCTATACATTGTCTATATATTTTGTTTTTATTAATTATATCACCAATAATTTAATATAAATTTTTGTCCGTAGATACTAACCATAGAACGTCTATATTAGTGGAAAATACAATTATGACCTGTAGGTATCTAGAAGTAGAAGGTGCTTTCACCAAAATTTAGACTTTTAAATGAATTTATGCAACCAACAATACGTAATCTTCACGGCGCATTCACCAAACTTCAAAATCTTCGCTTTTTGAAAATATTTAATGTGGTTTCTTCTGCTACTAGATAATTTGAATTAATATTCAAAAATTGTAACTTATTTATTGTGTAGGTTTAGAGGAGTAAGTGAAAATACATTTTTTTAAGTTTAAATTTTTATATTTAAACGTTAGAATGTTTTTTTTTCAATAACATTCTTAGCTCAATTTTTGATGGACCATTTGAATTTCTCATACTAAATTTAACAAAAACAAAAGAAATAGTTGTTTTTTTTTTAGACATTCTCTGTTCGAAATTTAGATGGACTATAGGTTTCCTCTTGTATTCTTTACGAATTTAAAAACATTAGAAATTGATATGTTTCATGACATTTTCAGCTTCAGTTGTAGATAGACTTTCTCAGTTGATTTCTCTCGTATTTTTATTAAGTTTAAAAAAACTAGAAATCATTGTTTTTTACAAACGGAAGTTACTAGAGTATTGCAGATTAAAGTCGACAGAAGGAGTGTTGTCACCTCTCCTATTTGACATGGACCATGGCTAATGTAATTGCATAGTGGTATGGTGGCCAAATATAGAGCAAAAAGTGCCATCCACAAATTAAGCAACATGCAAAAACTTGCTTTGGACTTACAGCTCTTTAGGGGCATACTGACAACAGGTCTAGAATGAGAATCACTTTTGGATTTCCTTACTGTTCGGGAAAGGAATCGGTTCAGAACTATCACAGGCTTCTATATTGAAAAGTCACTACTAAAGACTCTTTTGTCACTGTAACAGTCAAGGATAGCAAAGCACTATATATGTATAACAGCTCCAAGAAAAAAAAAATAGTCTGTTTTGGTTCATATTCAAGGCGAGGCAATAAATGAGACAAGAAATAAAATAAATAAATTATATTTAGAAAATACATGTAAAATATATATTGCTTTGTAAAAGACTAGTTCTCCATTCCTTAAGAATAATTAAAATAAAAAAATATAAACAACACCAGCTGCTTACAAAAATAATCCCTGATCTTTAGAAACATAAATAATTCAACCTGCATTTTGGTGCAAAATATGCAGTCGATGCAGTTCTAATATAAACGTCACAATTATGCTGTTTCCTGTGATCATAATTTTATATTTAAATTATTAGAGAAACTGTATTTGCCTTATTTGCACTAAAATGCAGCAGATATTTAAATAATCAATTTAAAAAATGTATAAAATATTTTAATAACATATTTGTGCCATATCAGATCTGAAATTAAAAATTAAAATTATATTCTTTAATGTTCATTGCATGCCATCAAAGACAGTTGATATTTTCACACAGAGTTACCATATTGTAGAGAATGAATTATGAAAAAGTTATTAAAATATTACCGTTTTTTATTAAAACACAATACATAATTGCTTATTCACTTTTTTAGGCAACTTTGTAAAAAAAAACTAACAATTCCTGTCATTGGCACTTCATAAATTAAAGCTGGATTGACATAGTATTTTTTAAATGACACTTAATTTAAATTATTGTTTTCGAGTGATGTGTATAAATCCAAATATTTCTAAAAATTTTTACTGAATTTCTTAGCAATCTTGAGTCATCTATGACATACAATGAACTAAAAAAGAAATAGCTTATATATAAAATAGAACACTTTCATATAAAGGTATGAAAAGTTATTTGTATAAAGGAGGCAAGATTATGAGAAATATGTTCTCATTACTTATTTTTGCTAAAATTACTGTCTTTGCCTAGAAGGTTAAGATATAAAGTTACTTGACTAGTCAAAATCAAGCTTCATTACCTTTGTTGCAGCTGTTTTAACAGCTCAGCAGCTCAACACGTTTTAGGACATTCCTACCATTTTCATATATAAGCCACCCTTGACAATGAAATAAAAATGGGTGTTTTTATATAAACAAGATTTCTCAGACAAAAATCGAGAAGGACTCTGCCGAAGATGCCAGGGAATAAGATGATTGTTGATTGTGAAGTGAATATCTTGGTAAATGACTTGTTTTGAGCCTATGTTGCCAATTGTTAAGCAAAATGCAGATAAGAATTTATCCTGTAGATAACAAATGAGGCTCTGGTGACAGAACATGATTTTATAATGTTTATCTGGATAATAAGTAGAAACAAACAGCTGAAGCCAAACAGATAATCATTGAAATAAGAATGCATGTGATGGGCAAGACATCTAGTCATATCATGAAAAGCTGCAATAGATGATGTGTTCTATTAACAAAATCTGAGTGAATTAGCTGAAGAGATAGACATCGAGTCAAAGTCATAAAGAGATAGACATACATAAGAATAGAGTTTTGATAGAATCATGACACAGATGAGGATACCAGGAAGATTACTGTGGCATCAAACTGACATCCAGTCTGAGTCTTCCACTATTTTTCTCTAACTGGAGCCATGTGTATCTGTCACATAATTTTTGACTAGTTATCTACCCATTTTATCTACAGTCTCCTTCTTCTTCACTTCTAAGCCCCTGGTTTCTAATCTTTAATGATCTTATTCCACTTTTTATCTTTTTGTCTAATAGAGTGACTTGAAAATTTTCACTTAGTTTCGCTGCTTGAGTGATAATATCTTTAACATTTGGATATTGATCATCCAGATATTCCTCCTTCTATCTGACAGATTTTATATTGAACATTTGTCTTTCTATCATCCTTTAACTTAGCTCCGCTTTCAGAGACAGAAAAAGACAATGTTGGGTGATAAAAAAATTAGTTTGATGTGGAATGCAAACTGATAATCAAATAGAAGAATAATGTGTCTCTATATGATGTAGGCTATTTCATGGTATTTTGACATTAAAATTGTGCTCCAAAAAGATTGATACATATTAAGAAAAATCCTGTACACTTACTAGTAAATTGAATAACAACAGATCCACATTTTCATAATAAATAATACAAACCTTAAGACACTAGAAAAATACAACAATTTACACATTGTCAACTGTAACACCTATTCTAAAATCTGCTGTAGGATCCTGGAGAATCATCCTAACATTATCCTCGAACTTATTTTTAATATTAGAAAACTCCATAATGTCCTTAGGCTTACAATCCATCCAAAATCTGTCAAACTCATAAAACAGGTAACTATAAAACTGATGAAATAATTTAATTGAAGGAGCACCCGCAGAGTTGTTATATATGTAAGTCTTTGCACTGCCCTCTTTTAACAAAGTCCAAGCTAAACTAGTGAGATTAATGCCAACAATGGCAAAACAATACCCATACACAGGGTGGTAGGAATGTCCTAAAACATGTTGAGCTGCTGAGCTGTATACTGTTGAGAAATACAGTAAGTTTTCTAAACCTAAAAGCCCCATTCCTCTAAAATCAGTTTTTGGATCCTCTCCTTGGAAACCGATTTCCTGCCACTGTTTTGTGATTCGACCTTAAAGTAACAATATTTTACTAACATTACCCATAATAATCTTAGAAAGTAAGTGAAGATGCTTTACAACAAAAAAACTTGAATGAATTAAATAGTTACCTTCTAATTTCTCATTAGGTTTAAGCTTCATCCACAAATTTTGCAGCTTTGCCTCATGTTCAGGATCATCCGAATCATAATTCATTGTTCTTAGTTGTTCTGCTTCAGCAATAAGTTGCCTGTACCCCCAAATTTGCTCTACACACTTTCCAAAGCTTTTAACAAATTGAAAATGTATTTTGGGATCAATTTTCTTCACTAACATCACTACTTTAACAGCTCCATTCAATATTTCGGACTCATTTGGACCTATGAACCCATTGTTGTCTGATATACTGTTTAAGTGCTGTATAAGTTGCTTTACTTGATGTGATTTGGACATAAACAATGAATACTCAACTTTTCTAATCCTTGGAGCTCCAGGTATTTCACCATAACATATCCTTTGCAGTTCACACAGTCCTGTTGTTTTTCTTAAAAACCATTTTATGATGGAACGGAAATAATAGGTAAAAATCCACCAAAACGAAAACGTCATTGTAACTCTTCTAAAATATACTATATTTTAAATATTAACTTTGCGTTTTTCACACATCTTAAAACTTCTTTTATTTGTAGAGCATTGATTTTGATTTGTTGACATTGATACCCAATGATGTGGTTATTGTTGGCAAGACAACCATATGTCAGATGATGACAACAATATTCGCTCTTCTTGTCTTTTCTTCTTTCAAAACTCGAGACTACTCTAAACACCGAACAACTCTTCTAGAGTTCTAAATCACAGTACAGCACACTCTCAACTAGCAGTGTGAGACAGGTGAGTCCCTTGTTAGCAAGCCAAACAACGATTGGTGCGTCGCTTAGTGCCAGGGTGCGTAACTATATATATAAACATGGCGGTAAATACAAAAGGCATGTAAAATTACCTAGTATTTGTAACCTCATTTAAATATAAGGAAAAATCAATATATCCCAAAATAACAAAAAAAACCTTATTTTATACGATATTATGTACATACTGCATACAATTTAAACAAAAATTAAGATAACTAATAAAATCTAATGGACATTTTTCATATTTGATCCCGATGAAGATGGGTGAAGATAGCCTCAAATGAGCTGTCAATTAAGTTTCACAGAACGAAATTTTGCGTTGGCAGTGTTGCCATATCCGTATAATGTATGTTTTATGGTTCAAATAGGAAGAGAGAATGCTCTGTATTATGTTATGGATTCTGCCATATAAAACACGAATGAATTCATATGTATTTCTTTTTAAGTGCAGTTAATTACTCTATCCTATAGCACAGAATAATAAACAATCAGAATGTTCACTTTCCATGGGAAATTATGTACGCGCATCTCGTTCGCGCAGACGTTCCGCCATGTTTTAGAGGGAACCAGTGTTGTTTATGTGGTGTGCATAGAAAAATTAACCCGGTTTAATTGACTTACGGCAATCATAAACATACTATACAATTATATTAACATTGTTAAATATAATAACATAAATAATAATATAATTAAACATAAATATAAACAATTACATAACCTCACAAATCATATGTCTGTGCTATGTGTTTCCTTCTAAAACATGGCGCGCGTGCTGAAAAACTTCAAAGGAGGTATCTGAGAGTGGGCATTCTGATTGTTTATTATTCTGTGCCTATAGATAGATTTTGCAGGAAAGTCAGAACTCTTAAACTAGCATTAATTTATAATAAAACAAATTATTTAAGATAATCGAAATTTTCTTAAATTTAATATCCGTAGAAAGCATTAATTAATAAATATTTAATAATTTAAATTCGTAACGCCCCCCTTCCTATCACTGGTAACGCCTATGAATCTACGTGATAATTCGTATACAGTTGACAGTTTGAGACGTCGAATTTTTTTGACATAAAAAAGGGAAGGGGCTTTCTGTTCCTCGTTCAGTGCTAGAGGTTACGAAAAATTTTTCCATTTTTCATTTTACTAAATATTTTCCACAATGGCTTTCGGTGATTATCCTGCCGACTATAATCCTAAAGTTCACGGACCCTATGACCCTGCACGTTTTTATGGAAAGCGTAAGTACATCATAATTGTTCAAATTTTCATTATGTAATGAGCTAGATCTGACATTGTAATTTTGGTTATATTAAATTAATATTTAGACTAACTGCATTAAGATTCTTTCTTTTCGGTTGTATTTTTCGTAAAAGATATTTATTATTAATGGAAGTAATGATAAAACAATGTTAATTTTTCGCACTTGATTGTTTTTTGGGTCTCTTCTATTCTAGGGCAGTTTTTATTGTTTTTTCACATAAACAATACTAGTGCTGGTATAATACTATGTCCAGACTTGACTTATTGTTTTTTTATGATTATAAGTACTCAGGTTGTTTCTTAGACATTTTGATGATTAGAAGAAATGGTAAGACATATCTTGGGGATTTCTTCATTCATTAAACTCGTCTTACAATTTTGAATGTCTTTATTTTTATTTCCTATGATTTTTTTCCAGACAATTGATTAAATATGCATTCTTCTTCTTTGAGTGTCCCCCCTATCAGAGATTGGATATCATTAGGGCGATTCTAATTTTATTTACTGCTGTTTTGAAATATTCGTTAGTGGTACAGCCAAACCACTCTCTTAAATTTCTCATCCAGGACATTCTTCTACGGCCTGGATTTCTGTGTCATTGGATTTTTCCTTGCATTATATTTTGTAGGAATGTGTACTTTTGTACTCTCATCAGGTGACCTAATTATTCAAGTTTTCTCTTTTTTATATTCAGAGCCACTTCTGGATCGTTATTTATTCTGCATATTACCTCTTCATTTCTAATTTTATCCACCCGATTGCCACATATTGTGGCAATATGCCACATTTAGTTTAATATTATTTTCTATTATTAAGAAACTGTACTGTAACTTATTTGAAGTTTAAAATACTAACCTTGAATTAAAAAATATCTTAAATTAAGCAAAAATCTAAATTATTTTGGACGAAAATAGTCAAAATCTTTACTTGTATTAGGTATACTTAAAAAGACTTTTGACATTTTCAGCTGATACTCCTTTTGGACAAGTAAAAGTTGGCGAAATTGGTTCCTGGTTGGCTCGCCGTAATAAGTCTCCATCAGCTCTCGCTGGTGCTTTTAGCAGAGGTGAGTTGAATAACCTTTTAATTTGTATCACCAAATAGACCAAAAGTTGAGTCTTAATTGAAGACATAAGTGGATAAAGGTCATATGTCACAAAATGATATTTTTGAGTAATGACCATTTTAGTGTCTTTTGTTCCAAGTTAATTATTTATTTTATAAATTTGCATTGCTGCACTTTTTTAAACAGGTATCTGAAGGTACTTTTTTTAGACTTTAAATTGAATTTAAAAAAAGTTACCTTAAGCCAAATATTTCAGATTTTGTGGACATATTGCCTTAATCCACATACTAAAAATAATTAAAAAATGTTAGGGTTCAGTGGATAAAAGAGTTAAGTATAAAAAATGGTCATTTATTTTCAAAAAACACTTACAATACAAAATGAAAAATTAACAAAAATAAATTTTTTAGTAGGTTTTTCTTTTCTTTTTAGGATTTTCTTTATTTTCCTCTATCGCGTTTTCATAAAACCATCTGTACTCTTCGGGAACAAATTTTATTTGGTCTCTTAAATTTTCCAGTTTTTCCAAACTCAAACCACCAGTTTTATTTTCCAGTCTTCTTGGTCTATATTCACTTCTGGTCAGATGTGCTGTCCTTTTTTTTCTTAAATCTACTTGCTGAAATGGCATGTAGTCATTAAGACATGTCTTATAGAGATAGAATCCAAATTCGTCCACTCTTATCCATTTTACATTATCACGAAAATTAATCTTTTCATTTGAACTGTTTGTTGTCTTTTTACATAAATAGAGCTTCGTTAGCAGATCTTCAAAGTCGTAGAAAAAATTCTCCATATTTACACAAATGCTACCTTTTGTGCTTGCCGACGTGATAATGTTACGATATTGATCTGGAATAAAAATTGACTGATGTTTTCTCAGAACTTTTTCTATCCTTCCAAAGTCCCTGTCAGAATCTAAATAACTGTGGCTCACTTCAGGAAATTTGTGCTCTATTATTTTAAAATATCCATTTAAAATGAGATATTGATATAGACCTACAATTATAAAGTTTTTGTTCTGACCAGAACATGAATCTGACCATATGATCAAATGATTAATATGGGGATTTTCTTCTTTTAAAAGCTTACAAAATCGAAACAGACAACTCGCTATTTCAGTACTACCTCGATTAGCTACATCTTCGGTCCACGTAAAAAAGTAAGATTTTGATCCTGATGAAGTTATGCAATGTATACCAAAATTATACAGCCACATTTGACGTAAATAGAATGCTCTTGATGTTGAAAGCTTAGGTAACGGCATGGTTTGTTGTAGATCCATTGTGATGTAGCACATATTATTGTCACTTATTGGCTTTTGCCTATCTACTTTTTGAGATTCAAATGCAATGCTACAGTTTTCTTTATGCTCTATAGTATTTTCTCCAGAATCACATGTGCTACATGTGTCACTTTTTGGATATCCAAATGATAGATTGAATTTAGTATCGAACACATGGCGATACATGGAAAGTTTAACTAAGTATTTTTCACCAATTTGTTGTTCATCGCATCTTTTTAGGTATAGTTCATGCATTTTTGTTACATTTAATAATGGTGACAAATACTTTCTATTCTGATTTTTGTTTCGAGAATAGTGAGAGCTCTCAGCTGGAAACATTTGAACATGTTCAGTAATGTATTCTACTACCGCTTCACCGATCTTGTGAGGTCTATTTGTATGTTGCCCTTGTTTACTTGGACTTGGAGCTGATTGACCTTGTTTAAGTTGTTTTTGAAGATTTAATATTTTCTTTGAGCCAACTTGGTACAGCGAACAAATTGCATCCTTACAGACAGATATTTTTTCTCTGTCGTAAGTTACTGAGTATTTAAAAGAACATTCTCTTAACTTCTGCTTTTTACCTCCAGAACGAATTCGGTGTCTTGAAACTTGATTTATGTCAATGCTTTTAAACAAAAGACAGGTTTTTGCGTTATTTTCTAAATTATAAAACCTTTTCAATATAGATTTTCTAGCTTCTAAGCTGAATTTGGTTCCACACTTTAATCTGCATGTTGCTTTACATAACACTAAATCTTCCTCAATTTCTTTTGCTGGTATAATTTTTCCATTTTGAGAAACATATTCCAACCCTTTTTCTTTTTGTATTGCTGCCTTTTTTTTCTTCCATTCAACAGGGTTGCGTTCTCTTTTACGAGCTTTCTTCTCTTTAAGCTCAAAAATTTTTTTCGCCGTCCTGTGAGGTTTGGAAACATCAGCTCCTTGTCCTTCTGCGGTAACATGTACCGCACTTTGACTGTCTTCAATATTGGGTTTTATTTGAAATTTCTTTGTCTTATTTTCAGCATTCACTTCTGCTTGGTTGTCTATATTCTTCATGTTTTGTTCCTTTTTTTCATTTAACAAATTTTTGTTAGGAAGTTTTTCAGAAAAGATGTTTCGTTTAGCATCATGTATTTTTTTGGAAAACATTTTGTTTGTGGTTTCTTCATAGTAGTCTGATTCATCCGAATAGCCCGTACCTGAAGGAACGAATTCATCACTGGACGACACATATCCGTCTGCTTCGCTTCCTGACTCATTGCTTTCTAAAAATATAAAACTATATGTAGTAAAATTAAAATAAATTTACTACTAAGAAATTATAAACCTTTCCAGCCAGGCTTACGTATGGTATCCATGTGTTTTTTCATTTTATACCAAATATCTCAAAAGCACAAAACCAAATTTTTTCATATTAAAAACGTTGGAGAACAATTTTATTAAAATTTAGACAATGCATAGTGTCTATCTGTCTATGAGATATTGAAACACTCCAAATAACCGATATTACAAAATAATTATTAATACAGATTAGAAAATACTAGATAACTTTAATATTATCTTAAATTATTATTATATTAACTTGTCAACGAGGCTGGAAATGTCAAATAAATATTCCCTTACCGACAAAATTTCCGGAAGTCGATGGTATCTGCATGTCTGCACAATACTGTTTATTGGATAAATCGTTGAGTTTACGGGTATTTAAATCTGACGAACTAGGAGGAAATACACCTAAAACCAACAATATTGTAAGTATGTGATAAAAACTACAGTAAAAAGCATTAATTGGTACTTTGCATAAAACAACAAGTATTAAAAAATATATGTATATGAACCTTTATATAATAATGTAATATTACCTTTTTTAACAGTATTCTTTTCTTTCTGTTGAAGATATAGTCTGTAAATTCTTTTTCCTCTACTCTCCATAATTTTTTCGTAACTTTTTGACTTAAAAACTGTAAAAATGTTTGCACAAAGTAAATTACACAATTACATTGATTTTCATAACATAACCTATAAAGTCAAATGTCAGAAAACCAACTGCTGAGCGACTAAAAATTTGAGTGGATAAAGGTAATATGTCCGCGATTTTAGACATAATACCTTTATCCACTAGAATTCGAAAATTTAGTGGGACATATTGCTTTAATACCTTCCTATTTTTTTTAATTAGCTAAAAATAAGTAATTTTAAAATTTTAAAAGGTTAAACAGCATATTAGCAGCACAAAAAACCAATAAAACAATTTTTTCAAAAAAGTGACATATGACCTTTATCCACTCATGTCTTCAATTATGAGGCTACCCATGGGTAATTATAAGGATTTTACAATGTATAATTTAAAGGAATGCTTTGTAATCTTTTGAAAATTCACACATCTTAAATATATGTTTTTTTAGCTTATTGGAGATGGCAACATAAGTATGTTCAACCCAAAAAGTCTGGTATTGCACCATTCTTACAAATAGTAGTTGGATCAATGATTTTCTTCTATACCATTAATTACACCAAACTCAGTAAGTTAATAGTTAGTTGATCAAAGTATTTTTTCCTAATGCTTTCTTTTATATTTTCAGGCCACCACAGAAACTACAAATATCACTAAACTTATGATCTAAATTTTTAGTAGTATCACTGAATTGTATGTTATAATTATTGTATTTCCAATAATCCACATTGTAATGTAAATCTGTTGATTAAAACAAGTGTAACTTCTACAAAATTGTTTTATTGCTTGAGTTAAACAAATATGATATTTCTTACTCCCTAGTTAACTAAAATGTATCAAGAACATTTTCTAAAACCATCTGGTTTTTTTCTTGTCCAAGAAACATTCTACTTCATCATTATAAGTGACTTCGCAGCTTGTTATGAGTCAAAGCTTTTTTCAGAATACCTCCATTCACCTGTCCTTGGGAACTCTTTCCATGCTCAACTCCAATAAATTTGAAATCAATATCCTAATTTGTTGTATGTAAATTGCAAGCACCTATAAAAAGCTTTATAAAATAATAAATAAAGGTAAAAACATAAAGGAAAAAAATACATCCAGTAATAGCAGCCATGTTTATTTGTAAAAAAATACATCCTTACAATCGTAGAGTATAGCCGAATTATTTTAAAAACATACCTACTACCAAATCAGTTAGCCACACGCACACAAACTCAGTTTTTCATTGCAGTAGACCTGTTAAAGGGTCAATTTAATAGTTATGTTCGGTTTTACTACAGGGAAAAACGTTAGCACACAAAAAAGATCCGAATAAACTAAAACTCAATACTATTTGTTGGGATGTTCAAGTAGTGTGTAAATATATTTCGAAATAAATATTTGTTCAGGCAAAACAAAAATGTTATAGTAGTAAAAACTGTGTTATTACGCAAATTAATATATTTTTTGCCATAACTGGAAAAAACTAGCAGACTAGTCAAGACTGAGATCGAAGAATAAAGAATGGAGGATATGGGAAAAATTGCTGCAGCTTATTATCAATGACTGGCAAAGGACATTTGTTCATGTTTATTATAGATGTAAATTAAAGAGATTCTTCCCAGGTGGCACAAATTGTGTTAATTTATTTCAAATTCGTTGTACCGTTTGCTGTTTGTAACTGAAAAGGCAGAAATTTTTTTCTTTAAAATGTTTATACTTTATATATACTAATTTCAGTAATAATCTATTTCGAGTAATATTTCAAAAATGTATAGTCTTACAGTAGTTTTCATTATTAATCTAGTGATTAAAAAATAGTATTGAGTGTTAGTTGTTTCATGTTGTAAAAGAATTTACCAGGTAAATGAATTATAATCGTAAAATTCTCAATAAATTTTTTTAAAACATCTGTTCCATTTAATTGCTAAATAATAATTCAAGAAAGATATGCACTGCAAAATACTGATAATAATACTAAAAGGAACAGATTCGTTATCACTTTTACTACAAATTATCCAAATAATACTGATTTTCAAGTTTGGGGAATTTATTTCATTTATATAAAACTCATTTCACTCTTTTTTTAAAATCATTTTGAGTTGAAAAAGTTTCAATAAGAATGAAATGGGAGTAAAATTTAAAAAGTTTGATTATTTGCGTGATGTTTCTCTGTAAGCCTACTTGTCTCCTAAGGGAATGGTGTAGTTTTTAAAAGATGTAGAGGTATGATTAGCTGATGTTTGACATGCTGGGAGTTGGTAGTATGTTAATGTTTTATTTCCTACTGATGGAATACTTCAATATTTAATAAAACTCTTGGTTTAGCTGGGTTTTATTAATTCTTTTTGTGTATATACGAGGTCCGTTCCGAAAATAAAGGGACTTGGCTCATAAATTTGCGCCAAACACAACATACTCTAGGACTTATTAGAATGGCTCAGGGACTTGTCATGTGACGCAGTTACTAAAGTAAAGTTTTAATTCATAACATGCTTTTGTTTGTTTTTTTGCGTTTGTCGCAATAAAAATGATGGCGAGAGATAGGGATTTTTATTAATCTTAACTTTAAAGTCAAACAAGCTGTACAGAAAGTGTTCAAATGATGCAAAAGCCTTTTTTTCAATGGATGTATGTCAAAACACAGAGATAAAATGATTCTGATCGATCTTCCAGCACAATACCGAATAATATCGAACGTGATAGACTGGCGATTGATGAAGATTGTAATTTGACTGTGAAAATCATTCTAAAGAAATGTTTGCTTCTCAAGTCTCTCCGGACAACTTGGAAATGTCGTTCATGATGATTAACATATGCTTAGACCATTACTGGAGTTGTGGATTTACGGTTACGATCCTGAATCAAACAACCACCGTCTTTACACTAGGAGTTTCCGTTCTTCCACGTCAATGTGCGTATTAAGTTCTAAAATATTGCATAATGCAGTAAGAATGGTCGAGTGTTTTCTTCATCATGATAATTCGTCAGTACAATTCATTGAATGTTGTGCATTATCTTTGTTACAGTTCCATAAAGTCTAGCTTGTTAGCATCCTGGATGCTAAGACCCTCGTAGAGACGATTCAAGAGAATACTATGATGGCATCCAACAGTCAATACGAAAACCTAATTTCACAACTGATTGTGTTGTGTTGTTATGAAATGAGGACTTCGAAGGATGCGAAACGTGGACCATGACCAAAGCAAACGAAGAAAAGCTCAGACGCTTTGAATGAAAAATACTTAGAAACATTTTCGGACCTTACCATAACACTACCACAAACCAGTATAAGATTAGAACCAATATCGAATTAAAAGCACTCTACAACGATGCCGATATTGTCCAAGAAATTAAATCACAGCGACTAAGATGGGCAGGCCACGTGCTGGTAGAGGAGGAGATTCCCACAGGCAAAATACCACTCGGACGTCCCAGAATGCGATGGAGAGATAACATCCAAGCAGATATCCGGAAAATAAACATTTCATTTGACCCTAGGTTGATGGAAGACTGAACAAATTGGAAAAAAGTTGTACAGTCAGCAAAGACCCACCCAGGGTTGTAGCGATACGTGATGTTGATGATGACTTCGAAGGATAGGATGAGCTGAATGACGAAAGGTAAAGTATTGAAATGTTGCGGAAGTTTTGGGATAAGAATTAAAAAAAATACTTAAGTGGTTTTAATTGCAGGAATATGCCCAAATTGATCAATTGCTTTTATTTTGACACACAAGTTGACTTTGAGCGGTAAATATTTTTTGCTACATAGTAAAATTGCGGCAAATGACGATGTGTCGTTCGTTATATGCGACAATTTGTACGATTATTCCAATTTTTGAGGCGTTTATGTTTATTCTTGCAAGTTTCATTAAAGAATTAATTAATTTTCCGTATACATATAAATGCAAAAAAGTCTATTTTGTGAATACATTGTTTAAAAAACTGATTTAGAGATTGATGTCACGTCATAATTCATTTACCTCAATATTATTTAAACAAATTACATAAAATATATCAAAACTTCATTACAAAATTTGCTTTTCATATAAAAATGTATCACAACCACTAGCTTTAGTATAACTTTCGTATTGAGAAACATTGTAAGAAGTTCAACAGTCTGAAAACACAACACTACCTATGTGTCAACGATTTTAGAGCATGTAAAACGATTAAATTAAACTGAAATTGTATTCAAACGTGTATAGAACAATAAATAGTTTATAAATTTGATTAAAACACGATTTTTTTTATTAAAATAGTACATTAGTACGATTATATTTAAATCCCCTAAAGAAACTGTGCCGGTAACTTCAGGATGCGTACTAAGGAATGAGTATTGGAGGCATGACGTTCCGTGTTTAGCTGTCTTATTGTATATTCATAACCTCAAATATTTTTGTCAAAGTTCCAAGCGTTTACAACAGTTTTTTATGGCCATACGTTTTGTTTTGCTGTTCAGTGATGGGTCGTTCACGAACGATCCGGATTGTTAAGACTCGGTTTTCGAAATTATTACCACCCACTATCAGACGGCCGCCTGTCTGACAGGTCGACAACTGACATGTAACGCAGGAAGCTTTGCCAGGATTTTAGCATTGAGTGGTGGAGCTCTGTTGTATAACGGAGACGTTTATCGAAGGTTTGTTTAAACTTTTTTTTACATTCAGGAGTTGTTCTGCGTTCTTTGAGCAGATAGACACTGCTTTATACATTGTTAACGTAAAAAACTGTAAGAATTTCCTTAATAACCTGGCATAAGGTAATAAGTGTCTCCAATTTGGATACTAGGACATGCAACTATGTAGATTGCAGTATAAAAATATTACTGATCTTCTCTGATCGTTTTTGTTGTAGATATTTCCTTTTTTGTTCATTAGAAAATACAAAATACTTCATGTTGTAGTAATTAGCATCACTATGTAATGCTGTATATAAATACTGTGACAATAATTTTGAGGTTAGACCACAGTTTCTTTTGGAGACATACTTTCCACACGATTAAAAAACAAATGAGCAATAATTTACATTCAATATGATTGAATATTAAAAACCGATGCGTTTGAATAAATAATTTGAACGAACTTTGTACCCTTCGGTTCTGAAAGTGTTTTTTTTTTCACATAAAATATGGTTTTTGTTCTCAGAAATGAAGTTACACAATTGAAACGTTCCGATAAATAATTATCAACAAACAAACATTTTAAATGTTAGTAGTTACTGATCTATAGAACGATATTAAATCAATACAACTGGTTGTTCTATAATTTTTGTCGTTCGATAAGAGATGGCATTAGATGGATTCGTCATTTCATTTGACACTGTTATTTGATGAACACGTGTTCAAAGTTGACGTGCTGTTAACATTTTCTACGAATAAAAAATTGGGCATTCGATTAAAACAGTAGAATTATGAAATTAAATGTGATCGTACAAGTATTTATAACTGGTTATGTGAATGATGTTCAAAAAGTACATAAATACCAGTATTTATAGCAAAAATACAGACTTGGGGTTTTGGAATGCCATCCAATAATCGAGAAAGATGTAGAAGGCTTATAAAGAGCTTATTCGACAATGTGAGCAATATTTTGGATGGAATTTTATATTTGAGAAAGCTATATGCACGATGGTAGCCTTATTCGCTATAAGCAACTTTTGGAGCATTTAAAAAATAACAAAAAGGAGTTTTTGCTAGATTTCATCATCATGAATGAGACTTCAGTCTGCTACCATTAATTATAAATCAAAATAAGAAGCTAAGAAGTGATGTAAATCCAGTACTTTGGCT